CTCTCATGTTTTTACTTACAGCTGAAGATCCACCTGTATGTCCTACATGTTAAACTCCTTTAGCTGTTAAACACCTTTATTGTTTTGTCCTTTTTTAACTCCCTCAGGCTTGGTTACCACTTTACTGACTCTTTAAAAGAGGTTTTTAGTAAAGTCAAGCCAGAGGCTTTTTTAGATTTTTTTTGTTGAAAGCTAATTGTTTTAACTGTTTGTAACACTTTATAACTATTTATGAAGTTTTTCCTTTTTTCATAGTTCAGTCTGTTTTAATACCCATATACTTTTCCCATGAGCCCTAGTTGCTGGCATGTTAAAAGTCAGCTTAACATAACACTTACTGTAGAATGACTGGTTTTAACCTGCATCTCAACATAGTTTTGTGTGATTAAATCTCTTGTTTGTTCACATGAGGGTCATTAATTCTGCTGTAGACTGATCTTTACCATAGTCGAACTGGGTTTAGTTAGCTTTACTGGCAAATTAAATTAATGTATATTTACTTCCGGCTTCCATTATTGTGCAATGTTCAGCTCTAAGTAAGATGTATTGTATTAGAGTAAAGCAGTATAATCTACGGTTTTATTTTCACTTAAAAATAATGTCAGTTAACAGTTAGGAATCATGAACATAAAATAAATTTGTATTCCAGTTTCATAGAGTTATTATGGGGTGAGACATCATGATTGTAGTCTAGTATCTGTTTGGAAAAATAAATTCTGGAATGTATTTCTTTATTTTTTTTAGGTTATTCATCCCTGCATTGGCTGATTCTGGTGCTGTGCATCACTGTCACACCTGTAGTCCTACTTACTGCTTTATATGTCAGACATTATAAAAGGAAAAGTAAGTAATTCTGAAACATTCCAGTTTTAATCTAATCATTGTAAAGTCAGGTTGGAAGACACATTAGGTCAAACCTAATGTGAATTACTGTGAAGTATCTGCTATGATGACATCTGATGCATGTTTGCAGCCACTTATCCTGCAGAGCAGGGGTTGGCAACCTTTTTGACAAAGAGTGCCAATTATATATTTTCTTGTTAGTCCGCGTGCCATGTTAACGACGGGGGGCGGGGGCTACCATCGAGTAGTCAAACCAAAGCAGCAGGCGCGCCAAGCAACAGCCAATGACATTTCAACATCATAGAAGACGTCTGAATTTTTTTTTAATGTGTTTAATAATTAGGGTTGTGATCTAGAGACCTGCGCGGGACGAATTTTTCAGTCCCGCTCCCGCAAAAAAATATATATTATTTTCTCCCGCTCCCGCCCGCAGTATTCAAGTTTTGTCCCGCTCCCGCCCTTAAAATCCCGCAGGTGAACACATAAGTAGTTTTATTTTTACCACTTCTTCCCGCTACTCTGTTATTTGTTTCACTTGCTTCC